CATCCAGCCTCAGTATAATAATAAAGTATATGCTTAAATAATTTTGCTACAAGAATTGCTTCTTTGGGCTTCCTATGCTGGCTATGCCTGTCCTTTCCACCCGCTCCCCACCTCTATTCATAGAAATTGTACTAAAGTTTCCATGAATGAAAAGTGATCTGTGAATAGAGGACAGGTACATGAATGATAGGTCCACCTCCTCCATTCATCCAGCACTTGTAATAATCCCCGCAACATTGAAAGATTGCAGCTGCAGGGATGGGGGTGGTCAGAGGATTGAATCTGAGTTTCAGTAAAGACAGCTGGCACCAGCAAAGCGACACTTCTCAGTAAATGTATGCACCATCCCTAGTGCTTAATTAAAAAAAAATAATACCTAAACATAGACTTTAACTCAACCTCAGTTATTCCCATTTTATTCTCATTTCCAGGTTGCTATAAATCTTAGCAATGACTAGATTATTATCCCACTAGAACACAGATATTAGTTGACTGTACACATTCTACACATTTTTATTTTAAATAATCCAAAAGTGATTTTGATGATAAAAAAGAAACGCTTACTTAGCAGATCCTAAGTTGTTTATCCTAAAGGATTTAAAGCAAAAACACACTGTATTCTGCAACTGATCAATAGACCTCTGTGATGGCTAATTCAGGCTAACAGTAACAAAGAATGGAGAGGGGGGCAGAAGTATGCTATCTCTGGGTCAAGCACATGGAGGTGAAAAATGTCCATTATTTAATATACTCACCCTGACCCTGGGATCATGTGTTGCTCAATTTGTTATGTCTCCCAAGCTTGCCATGATAGGCAACCATAGACTAACATTACTTGCATTCTTATGTCATTCCTGTAGCTTCAATACTTTCTGAGTCACTGATCCGGAACTGTGGCAGGACAAAGGTTCTGACTTCACTTTTTGCATACATGTTCCTAATCTCTGAACATATTGAAGCCAGCTCAGCATGATTTCCAAACAACTAGCATTTGTATAAGAAGACAACGTTAGTTTAGACATTTATCTCAGGCCTGATTGCCTTTACCAATGCCTCTACTGTATATGTTCAGTGCATAGTACATACAATCATAACTCATGCAGATACTCCTCTCTTAACAACTGAATTCCGTTCCAACTAATTGGTCGTTAAGTGAATTGGTCAGTAAGTGAGGGACTGTATACAGTAAACATACCATCAGAGAGCTGGACATAAATCTGAGAGATGGTCATTAAGCAAGGAACTGAGCTGGTCCTAAGTCTGAGAGACGGTCGTTAAGCAAGAAACTATGCACGTACCATCAGACAACAGGTCATAAGTCAGAGAGTTGGTCGCTAAGCGAGAAATTGAGCTGGTCGTAAGTCTGAGAGATGGTCATTAAGCGAGGAACTGTATGCACGTACCATCAGACAGCAGGTCGTAAGTCTAAGAGTTGGTCGCTAAGCGGGGAACTGAGCTGGTCATAAGTCTGAGAAATGGTCATTAAGCAAGGAACTGTATGCACGTACCATCAGACAGCAAGTCGTAAGTCAGTGAGTTTGTCGCTAAGCGAGGAACTGAGCTGGTTGTAAGTCTGAGAGACGGTCATTAAGCGAGGAAACTGTATCCACGTATCATCAGACAGCAGGTCATAAGCAGGGGCGGACTGACCATTTGGAAACTTGGGCTCTGCCCAAGGGCCCGGGGTCAGCAGGGGGCCCCATGAGATGCCTCTGGTACCTTTTTCATAGGCTTTTTTTGCGTTTGGGCAAGGACACTGGGGCCCCATGATCCCCTATTGCCCGGGGGCCCCATGAGTTGTCAGTCTGCCCCTGGTCATAAGTCTAAGAGTTGGTCGCTAAGCGAGGAACTGAGCTGGTCGTTAGTCTGAGAGACGGTCATTAAGTGAAGAACTGTATGCACATATCAGATAGCAGTTCATAAGTCTAAGAGTTGGTCGCTAAGCGAGGAACTTAGCTGGTCGTAAGTCTGAGAGACGGTCATTAAGCGAGGAACTGTATGCACGTACCATCAGACAACAGGTCATAAGTCTAAGAGTTGGTCGCTAAGCGAGGAACTGTATCCATCGCAGAACAGGTCCCAAATCTTAGTGGACGCTAAACAGGTAGGTTGTTAAGTGAGGAGTATCTGTATACACTGTAGGAAAGCTAAGCCTTGATCTGTGATTAAATTACAAAAGCTCAATACATAATCCTAAAGCAGAATTAAAGGCAAAACTATTTTTCTTATGCTGGATAGAGTTAGGGAGGGATATTACCTCTGTCAGTTTTATTTTTGCCATCTGTTTCCCATTGGAGAGATTTTCCTTCACTTCCTGTCCCATAGCCAAAACAGGAAGGGAGAGGAAATCCCTCTAAAGTGAGGGAATTCCTGGTTGTCTCCAGAGCCATTGGAACCAGTGTCCCCATTGGACGATTTCCTATTACTGTTCTGGGGATAACCACAAATTCAGGTTTTTCTTTTACATTCACTTTTGGTGATAAATGTAAACAAGACAAATAGAGAGAGTGAATCTCCTGAACAGGGGCACAGTTTTGCCTTTGGATATACTGTACGAACAAACATGGCTATAATTTGAATTTAATGTAAATTCTTCAACTTATGATAATTCTAAAAATGCTTCAACCCAATTCTTTTGGAAATACAATTTACTAAGAAATATTGTAATGCATTATGATCCAAGCTTTCAAAGAAATATATATTTATTTATAATTTCTTAATCTATGTCTAGAACATTTTTTATGTATTTGTGTTCAGGTAAGTACAGAATACAGGCGTACCTCGTTTTATGAACACCTCGATTAACGTAATTTTCGGTTTACCTATGAAAATCCAATGAAAATAATGCCTCGGTTTACAAATGTTTTTCGCAATACGAAGCAAGTTTCCCCAGGATGCACTGCCTGGGAGGTTTATAGCACCAGCCCCGTGCCTTTAAAATGCACTTTATAAAGCGTTTTGAACAGATAAGACTTGTTTTACTTTTTTCTGACTTCCGGAACGGATTATTTGGTTTTCAATGCATTTACAAATTTTTTTCGCAATACAAAGCAAGTTTCCCCAGAATGCATTGCACCTTGGAGGTTTATAGCGCCGGCCCCGTGCATGCTGGAGTCAGTGGGTAGCACGTGGAGTCAAGTGTGGAGGTGTTGGATCAGTTTTTGCATCGAGTTTAGGAGCCATTCTGGAAATTTTTAATCATCATGTCCCTGTACAGTATTTATGCCTTTAAAGTGCACTTTATAAAGAGTTTTGAACAGATAAAAGACTTTTTTTTTACTTTTCTCTGACCTCCGGAATGGATTAATTGCTTTTTAAAGCATTCCTATGAGGAACCGGGACATTTTGTATTGCGAAAAATTCGTAAACTGAAACACAGAGAACATATTAAATTCATAAAAGGAAGGTACGCCTGTATTACAAGTGGCTAATGCCAAGCAAAAGCAACGATTTTCTATAATCTCATATGAAAACTGCTGTTATTAAAGAGCTGAGACACTCATAAATATGTAGCATTTTTCTTTATTTTTCTAATATGGACCCAGTGAGATTACACACACTGTAGAATAACACACAGGATGAACACATCTTTTCTTCTCTAGGCTAGCAGTCAAGTCTAGATGAATATATACAAACAGTGCCTTGTTGTTTGGACCTAGCATGGAAATACAAATCACTAAGCATTCATTATACTGCCTGCTAAGTTATTAGATCCAAAACTGTCACATAAAATGCATGCATGAAATAGTCTTTAGTCAAAGTGTCAATTTTTGTAAAGTCAAATATTCAATTTTTGTAAAATATATATTTTTATTAAAAGATCAGTTAGTAAATATGTACACTTTCAAAGCTAAGTGTAAAAAAATGGCCAGCATGTTTTCTTCTTAACATGCCTGTGTCACCATGTAAAATGTGATCATTTGTCAAAACTTAAAAAAAAAAAAAATCTATAGGTTGGTGATCCACAGCCTACAATGATTTGGTATATCACATGAAGTTTTGGGGTTTAATCGCTTGACCTCCAAAAGATTTTACCCCCTGCATGGCCAGGCCATTTTTTGCTATACGGCTCTACGTTACTTTAACTGCCAATTGCGTGGTCATACACCACTGTACACAAATTAAATTTATATAATTTTTCACACAAATAGAGCTTTCTTTGGTGGTATTTGATCATCACTTTTTTTTTTTTATTTTTTTGGCGAAAAATACAGAAAATTTTGAAGGGAAAAAAAAAATTTTTTACTTTTTGCTATAAAACATATCCATATAAATTTTAAAAATCAAATTTCTTAATAAATTTGGGCCAAAATGTATTCTGCTACATGTCTTTAGTGAAAAAAATACCAATAAGTGTATATTGATTGGTTTGCGCAAACTTTATAGCATCTACAAATGATGGTATGCTGTTAATAATATGCACTGTCACTGTACTAATGACACTGGGTAGGAAGGGGTTAACATTTGGGGAAATCAAAGGGTTAACTGTGTGCCTAGCAAGTGTTACTCTGTTAACTGTGTGCTGTTTTTATTAGAGGATGTGATGGTTTTTATTCCCTGCTTTGCAGGGAGACAAAAAAAGCACATCCCTGCTGTCAGTAGAGAGATCTGTGCTGTTTAGCAACACAGATCTCTCTCTTGTCATTCATTCCGCCTATTGGCAGGTTCCAGCCATGAATCATTGGCAGGAACCTGTTGATCGACATCTAAGGGAGCCAGTGAGAGTAGAGACAAGTGGGTGGGCGGGTGGGTGGGCACACACGTCCCCTACCTGGAAATAAACAATCATTTATATATACGTGATTCTCCAGAGCCGGCCTGTACTGTAGTAGTAAAACTACAGTGCACGGTCGGCAAGTGAATATTGTTAGCATGTTCAATGTATTTATGCGATAAGACATAAAGAAGAGGCTTAAAATCTTATGTTTCATGTTACACATTTTTATCCTTAACTGGTTTAGCTTTTATTTCAAGCACATTTGCTCATACATTCCAATAACTCAATCCTTACAGCAATGCGAACATGCCAGCCTAGTGGGATAATCCTGATGTATCGTGCAATCACTGGAGGTCGCAGGAAGTTCTGTACAGTAGATGAACGATCTGAGTTCCCATAAAACACCTGGTGAAAAATGTGAAGGAAAGGTTACATACCCACATGGAAGTAAAATATATTTGAAATATATTTTAAAAATATTCTTCCCAAATATATTGTCATATATTTGAAATACTACAAGTTTGGCCATATTCAATATATTTCAATATATATATATATATATATATATAATATACTGCATGTTGAAATGCGATTTTATTACAAAATATATGAAAAATATTTTTAAAAATACATTTCAAACATACTGTATGTCTTTAATAATACAAATCTACATTTTTGGACTGCATTTACAAATAGATCTAAAAATATATGTTAAAGTGACTTTTTTTATATGGTAAAAATCTGAAGAATATATTAAAAAAAAATATATAAAAAAAATGTTAACATATAAAAAAGTAATTTTAACATATTATTTACATATATTTGTAAATGCATTCCAAAAATGTAGAGTTGTATTTTTAAAGACATACGGTATATTTGAAATTTTAACATATAAAAAAGTAATTTTAACATATTATTTACATATATTTGGAAATGCATTCCAAAAATGTAGAGTTGTATTTTTCAAGACATACAGTATATTTGAAATTTATTTTTAAAATTGTTTTCATATATTTTGTAATAAAAATGCATTTCAACATGCAGTGTGTATGTGTGTGTGTGTGTGTGTGTATATATATATATATATATATATATATAATTTATTTATTGAAACATATTGATTATGGCCAAAATTGTAGTATTTCAAATATATGGCAATATATTTGGGAAGAATATTTTTAAGATATATTCAAAATATATTTTTCTTCCATATGGGTAATAGCAGACATAACCAATGAAAACATACACAAAACGCACACATTCAAATGGAAGGGGATCGAACAATAATAGTTTTCATGTCTTTGTGACTATATTTCATATACATAAATCGTGAAGCAACATCTCTGCAATACATGCACTTTTCCCTTGATTTTTTATTTAAAAACACTGCAGGTACAGAATCATGCTCGTTGATCCAACCACAGATCCAGTAAGCTCCTAAATTATTTTAATGAGTTGGCACTGCTGACTCTGCTGCACTGAAATCTCAATCAGTGTTGTCAGCCCTCCTGGAACGTATGACCATACCAGAAGGTACTGGAGCCACTTGATTAGCACAAGTAGGGCAACTAAGCATTTTCAGAAAGAGAGCTAAGTAAGGCAACCTCCATGTTTGCAGATTAATACAGAAAGTGTTCCTGAGGCTGTACGAGAATAGGAAGTAAACTCCAGCCTGAAAAGCCTCACTGGCATAGCTCTGTGTAAATGAAATCATTCTATCCATGCCTTCATACTTTATTTAATTGATACCCATTATAAATAATCATTTACAGATTACATTTTACCATTGCCTAAAATAATGAGAACCTACCCGATTGTTTCCAGTTTTGGTCCTTGTAGTAAACCCAGTTCAAAGAATCATCCACTCTGTACTGTACACTGTACTTAGTCATCCATTCATCTGTATCACATCTTCCTTGTGTCAAAATCCCAGAGATAACTTTTATTTCCTTCAGGTCAATCTGTAGCCACTGACTATTGTCCTGGAATTTGGATAGCCAAGCACACCTGATTAGAGGAAAAGCAAATGATTTTCAATAACAAACATAAAGTCAGTGAGGCAGCCTGAAAAAATAAACCATTTATATACAAGTATTATTAAAATGAACTTGTGAGCCACTGGAGTTAAAGATCAGTATATTAGATCGCTGGAATTTTTTTCCTCACCCTCATAAGATGTGAGCTACGTAAAAATAATAAATAATTAACCGCGCTCTAATATTACCGTGCCGATACTATATATTTTAAAAAATGTACCATTAATTAATATATACTGTGTCAATATCAACTTAACGACTGCATTACCTGAATTAATCTAATTATATTACCACAGTGTTTAGTAAAACATAAAAATACGAAGTGTGTGATTAAATCCAATAATGATAATTTTACAATATAAATATCTCATTAAAATATATAAATAAATTCATATGGTTTACTGTGTAAATGTGCAAAACAAAAATTATAAATATCTCATTAAAAATAAATTCATAAAGTCCAATGTGCAAATAGTGCAAAGCAAAAATAAAAAATATAAAAAATTTATTTTCATTTATATACAGTTTGGGGGTCTTTTGATAAAAAAAAATGTTTAGCATTTTCACAGCCAATAAACATATAGACAGAGCCTTTTTCTTTGTGTTGTATACTTCATATAGCACATGCAAAGAACAAGTGTATGCACGAAGCTATTGCATCCAACAACGATTTCACAGTGCTGAGCTAATCAACTTTATAAAATCTGGACTCTGCTTGACTAACCAATCCACTCAGTGAACTGGTAACAAGGTCCTTTTGTCCTCTGACCAGTTGAATTCCTTCCTGCAGAACACAAAGTAGGTCCCTTCCCACCTCACCTAAAGGAAGGGCAACCCCTTACCATCATTGTCCCCTGATCAGCAACTTAATGGGCTAACAGAAGAGAATGTATTACACTGATATGATACATCTTTTTGGGTTTTGGCAGGTTTACTGATTGTTAGGATTTTCCTTTCATAAAAAAGGCAGTTCCTGGCCAAACAGTATAGAGGTCTCAAGAAGAGACTGGTTACAGAAGGTGAATTGTTAAAGCATACCCTGTTAAATCTCATCCCCAATATATCTCGTACTCCAAAAAATCAAGTGACCCACAGCCAAACAGAAGGTGTGTTTAACCTCGTCGGCGGAATGATTATTTTTGATTTTTTTGTGCTGAAAGCGGTACCATTTTTTTGCATGGAAATGGAAATATGTAGTTTTTTATTGTAGGCTGTAATTTTTAGGAATAACTCACTGAAATCTGTACGAACAAGAGTCTAGTAAACATCCCGGGTAGGATAAAATTTGAAACCCGAAATCATAAATTATAATTTAATAAATAATCATAAAAAATAATAACATAATAAATTTAATTCAATAATATAATCAAACCAAAAACACTGAAATTTGAAATACAGAGGCAAATTCCCACATCGCTGAGCAAAGTCGCAAAATCGTTTTCAGTGTCTGATGACGAATTTCCCCACAAATCATTATCACTCAATTCTGCAAGTGGTTCTGATTTACTATCGCTGTTTTCTAGCTGGTCTAAAACTGCTTTTGATGTAAAGGGGCGCTTTTTTGGACGCCATGGACTTTTCTAAGTTTCCAGGCAGAAAGAACAGTCAAAATGCAGGCAGGGCACAGGACAAAGCAGTAGGGACAAAATGTATGTGAAATGCATTGAAACAGCAATGTTTTTACTATGTAATAATCATTTTTTAAAAAATTAAATTTTTTTAAAAATTTCAAATTTGCCGCCGTTTCCGGCGCCCGTACGTCCCGACGTCACAGGGACCGTAACACGGAAGCTGGATGCCGGCATCGGCCAGAGGAGATGGCCGGGGACGCTGCAGGGAACACATCGTGGGAGCGAAGGACAAGGTAAGTGCTGCAGGGACTCCCTGAGCAACGCCGCATGGTAAGCCCAAGTGTAGCTCAGGGTTACCGCTCTTGGTACTGAAATTTTACCCCGAGCTACACTCGGGAATACCACTAAGGAGGTTAAATATACAGTAAAGCATTTAAGTGAAAGTCTGTTGACAAAATTCCACACACTTAAATCAATCCCTGTAAATTACCGCTAGAAAAACATTAGGTGTAAGTGTTAGTGTGTTACTAGCTAATAAATATTGCTTTACTGACACGATTACATTTTTTGTCCCAAACATACCATTTAAAGATAAATACACAAAACATTATATATTCCTTACAAACCTAAAGTAGGCCTTTCAGTACATTTCCAAACATCATGAATAAAATGTTAACATGTCACGATATAGAGTCAATGGTATGATTTTTTTTTTTTTAAGAAAGCTGTACTATTTACAAAGAAGTCTTTGTGCTCCAGTCCAGCAACTTTGTCTAGGCTAAGAGGATGACATTAGTGTGCTGCGGAGAGAAGAAAGAATTTCCTTAGTTTCTTCTTCGTAAGCAAAACACACTACAACAATGTAACTTTTTAAACTCACAAGGTGAGAAGCTGCATGAGGGAGTAGTATCAGACATTCGTTAACACATCCAAGAGTAACACGGGCACTAGAATGTACATGACTGTGTCATCTATGACCCAGCATCTTAGTCCTGGACCTAGATGCAGACCCTGTGTAATGCCCAAGCAAAGATAGCTCCATCCTTCTTGAAAGAAAAGCAGAAAGTACACTTACCGGCCAATTTATTAGGTACAACTTACTTTTACCCAGGTGGACCCCCTTTTGCCTTCAGAACTGCCTTAATTCATTATGGCATAGATTCAACAAGGTGTTGGAAACATTCCTCAGAGATTTTGGTCCATATTGACATTGTTGGTTGCACATCAATGATGTGAATCTCTCAAAAGTGTTGTATTGGATTGAGATCTGGTGGCTGTGGAGGCCATTGGAGTACAGTGAACTCATTGTCATGTTCAAGAAACCAGTTTGAGATGACTAGAGCTTTGTGACTTGGTGCATTACCCTGCTGGAAGTACGCAACAGTAGATGGGTATACTATAGTCATAAAGGAATGGACATAGCAACAATACTCAGGTAGGCCTGTGGCTTTTAAACAATGCTCAATTGGTACTAAGGGCCTAAAGTGTGCTAAGAAAATATCCCCCTCACCATTACACCAGCACCAGCCTGAACTGTTTATACAAGGCAGGATGTATCTATGCTTTCATGTTGTTTATGCCAAATTCTGACCCTACCATCTAAAATCGAGACTTATCAGACCAGACAACATTTTTCTAATCTTCTATTGTCCAATTTTGGGGAGCCTGTGCAAATTGTAGCCTCTGTTTTTTGTTCTTAGCTGAGCGGGCGTGGCACCCGGTGTGGTCTTCTGCTGCTGTAGCCCATCTGCTTCAACGTTCGACATGTTGTGCACTCAGAGATGGTGTTCTGCATACCTTGGTTGTAACGAGTAGTTATTTGAGTTGCCTTTCTGTCATCTCAAACCAGTCTGCCCATTCACCTCTGACATCAACAAGGCATTTTCGTCCACACAACTGCCACTCACTGGATATTTTGAAATACTCAGACCAGCCCGTCTGGCACCAACAACCATGCCACTTTCAAAGTCACCTAAATCCCCTTTCTTTCCCATTCTGATGCTCAGTTTGAATTTCAGCAAGTCATCTTCACTACGTCTAGATGCCTAAATGCTTAAATTGCTGCCATGTGATTGACTGATCCGAAATTTTTGTTACCAAGCAATTGACCGTGTGTACCCAATAAAGTGGCCAGTGAGTGTATAGTGGGGGGGAGGGTACTGTGAACTGTGTGGGAGTTATAGCTGTAAAAGAATATGAAATAGGAGACTGTATCTCCAATTATTCACAGAGTAACATCTTGATGGTTGCTTTCCTTGACTGGCTCTAGTAAGTGAAGTGAAGTAACCGATCGGGCCACAATGAAATTAAATGTATATATTAGAATCCAGTGTACAAGTCCAACATAAAATAATTAGTCCCCTTTCACAGTCCTATGGGATTGTTTATGCTACTAGATTGTCTTCCACTCTCCCTAAATGCTCACCACATAACTAAACATATCAAGTATTCCAATTCATACGTGAATCTATAAACGTGTGACCTCCTCTTCCACTTCTTTAAAAATAATATTCTCTCCCCATGCAAAAAATATATACGAACACCGCATATAGTGCATTATTTTTATATTTTCTTTATATTTACTTATTTATATTTTCTTGTTTTTATTCCGGTAGCTTTACACATGCTACATTTTTATAAGGAAAAAAACCTTTCAAATCGAACATTTTTTTATTTTTCTTAGGTGGTGAAGTAACACTTTTAACTAATTTAGTATAGATTAGATGACTTCCTATAGATAAAATGTGGTTTATTGGGAACCAAAGGTCCCAATATTTTATCTCTCCTAATGATAAGCCAATATTTCCTGATGATAGCTTCCATGTCTTTATATTGACGATTAAAATCTAAAATAAATGCATATTCCAAATTTTTTTCTGTGTTAATCTTATTCTTTGATTTACTTTTTTCTCTTTTTCCCCCCAAATATCTTTTACTCATTTCAAATCGTGCTTTTTCTAGTTTGTCTGGATCATAACCTTTCTCAATAAATCATGCTTTAATCATTTCTGATTGTGTTATATAGTCTTCTAGTTTAGAACAATTTCTCTGCCACCGGAATAAAAACAAGAAAAATTTAACATTTTACATCCCAGGCTACAGCAAAGGAATACCCTATTAAGAAATTGATCACATGTACTACATCTTTTGTGACGTATTTACTAGAGTGCCCTTGCAAATTCCAGTATGTAGGTCAAACGACAAGACAGTTACAGGTCAGGTTGAGGGACATGTTGCCAAAATGATGGCAAAAAAGATCAGTCTATCTAGACACTTTAGAGAGGCTTATAACTGCAATCCATCCTTATTAAAATTTTGTGGCATAGATATGGTGGATGAACATTGGAGGGAAAGTATCAGAATGAGAAAAATTTTAAAAAACGAGACATTTTGGATTTATGAATTCGATACCATGAAACCCAAAGGGTTGAATGTGGAACTACATCTTAACTGTTTCATTTCCAATCTGTAAATTAGGGTAATTTTTGGAAAAGGCTATATTTGGCATGATATGAATAAGAAGAATATTAGTTGACTTATGAGAGTAAATAGGCCTCTTTGATATATTAATAGGGATGGGATTGGACATAATTATTAATTAGAGAAGAAATTAAGTTTTCATATCCCCCCCCCCCCCAGGCTCACATAGTATCTATATAGAATTCATAGGCTTGTCCATATGTAAACATTTTACTTAATTTCCTTCCCTTTGGTATTTATGAGTTCAAGGTATAGAGCTGTGTCCCTCCTGATAATTGTATAGATCATCTGATATGAAGGGTATTGCAAATTTGTGTTCAGGTGTTGTTTTACCTTTCATCATGAGGGGGTTAACTACTTCCTGTCCAGGCACTTTTACCCCCTTCCTGCCCAGGCCAATTTTCAGCTTTCAGCGCTATCACACTTTGAATGACAATTGCACGGTCATGCAACACTGTACCCATATGAATTTTTTAGCATTTTTATGAGACAGATAAAACTTTATTTTGGTGGTATTAATTCACCACCGGGGTTTTTTATATTTTTGCTATATAAATGAAAAAGTCCAAACATTTTGAAAAAATTGTGTTTTTCTTATAACATTTTGCAAACAATATTTCTTCATAAATGTATTCAGCTATCTTTTTAGCGAAAAAAAAAAAAATAACACAAATTAGTTTATAACCAAAAATTATAATTTTTGAAAAAAATGTTTTTTTTATATTATTATTTATGTTTTTTTAAAACATACTGTCACCCTAGCAGTACAGTGTCACCATTGTGACACTGTACTACTTGTGGGGGGTAATGAAGATTTTTTTTTTTACACTAATTGCTTTTACACCCAAAAAGGCTGTAAAAGCAATCATTTCTTGCAGCCATTGAGAAATACTGTGCAAGCTGTGATTGGTCACAGCTTGTCACATGGTACAAGGCTGTTGTGAATAGCCTTGTACCATGTGACCTCTGTGATCATTCACAGATTTCACTAGTAGTAAGCAATGATGTCCAAAGTGACATCTTGCTTACTACTATTCATGTGATCACTGATTGGCCTCACACAGAGGTCCCGTACAGCGATCGGTGTTCCAGACACAGCAGGCACTGGATTGCGGTACCGCATGCTTCCAGGGAGCACGCACAGACAGGGAAGCGGGAGGGCGTTTATAAATGGCCACCCGCCCCTGCACTGCTCATGCCTGGCCGTTTATGTACATGGGCCGGATGGGAAGTGGTTAATATTTGATAGTAGAAAAAAAACGTATAGTAATCGAATGTGATTGTAGGAATATGGAATTTATGTAAGATCATGTGTAGTAAATTGTCGATTCCTAATGAGATTAGAAAGTAGTATGTGTTACAGTGCACATTATGATATGTTACATTGTCCCTTTTGTAAGTTGGCCGATAGACGTCCCATTGAGGGCATAAGTAAGCTATAAAAGGCCAACCCGCATGTCTGACGTACACATCCTTTGATAAAGTCATAATGACGAAACGCGTCAGCGAGTGACATCAGACGCATGCCGAAAGTCTAGCAGCGGCCATCTTGGAACAGGCCCCGGTCCAGGTGTCGTATGCTGGCTTTCTTTTATTCATTGTAAGAACTTTTTTTAACAATAAATGAGTTTGTTTTTAACTTGCTACACTATGGTCTGCCTATGTTTGGTTGCATATGGATAATATTGAAGTTGAGGCCAGCGATAGAGGCAAATACAGGAAATGAAGCGGTGGTTTATGAGATTGCTATGCTCCAGATTATAGGAGGATTTGGTATTTGATTTATAAGGTGGTGGGACATCAATGGTGGATGAAGCACTGGTTTGCGGTGATCACAAAAGTGGAATGAGTGTGAGTACAACAGCACTATCAGTATTCTACTGTTATCGGAAGTACTACACTATATGAACATTTTGTTTTTTGGGAGAAGCGTATCAAGGAGTAAAGAGAGAAAAAGAGAAAGTGGGTTTCAAGATTTATTTATGTAGAAACAAGAACATTTGGATTGGAGGGTAAGAGTAAGGTTGACAGAATGTTGTCACGTGGTGGATACGTTGGTACAATAGTTGCACTTTTTATGTGAGTTTAATACTTCATTTCAATTGGGATTTAAGAAGATAATGCACTATATGAGGTGTTTGTGTATATATTTTTTGCATGAGGAGATAATATTATTTTAAAAGAAGAGGAAGAGGAGGTTATATGTTTATAGATTCATGTGAATTGGAATACTTGATCGGCTTTGTATGTGATGAGAATTTATGGAGAGTTGAAGACAATCTTGCAGGATAAACAATCCCATAGGACTGTGAAAGGGGACTGATTATTTTATTGGATTATAACATATATATTTGTACCTTCCTATGAGGGAAGGATTATTCTAGTGGCTGGAAACTCTAATCTGGATTTTATTTTATTTGATGTATTTCTTTTGATTTATTGTATGTATTTTGGTGGCAGTAACTATAGAAAGTTCCCAGGCATGGATTTCAACATACATATATTATAATGAAATGAAATGGTTTACATTTTTTTTATTTTGAATAGAATAATGAACATATTCCTCCTGCAACCGCTGAATGCCAGTGGGAAGGAGAAGAGGAGAAGCCATCTTTCAGTGGTTGCAAAAGGAAAATGGAAAAGATTGATTCCTGTACATGCCACCCCTGCTGCCTCTCCTATCCACGTGTAAAACAGAATATGACAGAGAGGCCGCATGGGCCCCCTGCAGCATGGGGTGGGGTTGCCATTGTGACCCCTGCAAGTGCACCAGTGGTTGGGAAGGGTGGTAAAAAAACACCTCAACAATGGGGTTTTACCACCCAAACCACACATGTAAACAAGCCCTTACTGTTCTGAGCCTCCTATAAGGCTGCTTTTATACTGATGTGCTGCGGTTTATCAGCACCACGGGTGCAGCACAGTGCACCTGTGGCTTTCCTGCAGGTTAGCTGCACTTTGCTGTAGACCTCTCGTATATCTTGCAGGTGTGGTTCACTTTCGGAAAGTGTGCCAAACCTGCAGGATCAGTGCACAGTACATGTAACCGGCAATTTTGAAAGCTTCTTAATGGAAATCTGTATTGCTTACATAAATACATGATCCATAAACTGATCTAAGGCTTCACCTTAATCATAACTGTGAATAAGGCTTTGTGAAGCCAAAACACGTCAGTTTATGGATTCTGCATTTATGTAACCAATAAAGATTTCCGTTAAGATTTCTGAGTTGCCAGCTACTTGTATTGTGGATATTTGCTGTGAGGATTGGATGCCTCAGCCGGTGCACTGGTCTCTATGTGGTGAATAGAGCAGTTGCCCTTGGGTAAGATTTGTTTCTATGGGTCCGTGCAGTTCACCCGCAGGAAAGCTGCAGGTGCATATGCTCATTGCAAAACTATGTGATGTTTAGTAAACTGACCTTTTTCTCTTCCAGCTTCTGCTGGCATTGCTAGACTGCTAGAAAGGTCCCAGGTGAAGTGTGCTTGGAATCACTCCTGCAGGCAAAAAATTATTGGGGTCCCTGCACTGTATAAACCTTAAGGAAAATTACCTAACTCACCCAAAATAAAAACATATTATACAAATCACATCAACCAAAGGGACAGAAATCTAAAAATGTAGCACAATGTGGATGAAAATATATATAATACACATTTAAATTGACTCACCCAAATCCTTGACCATTGAGGCGGGCTTTGGTTGAGGTCCAGGAAGAATACCAGCCTGTATACTGATCTTGGTTGGAGCAACTTATCTGATCTGAAGTAACAGCACCTGATTCAAACCCCAGAGGCTTATGATATGGACATTCTGCAAAATAAGTCATATATAAACTGTATAGTATTTGTATTAAGGAGGAACATTTCTTAATTTAATAGATACAAAGTAGTCTGATGATATGTTTCCCTACAAACAAAAAAGTTAAAGGGCAGTCTGTATTGTTACGGCAAGCAGCCTATTGGGTCAGTCACATTTCTTTTTTTTTTTTTTTAAATAAATGAGTACTGAGGAATTATAGACCAATTCTAGACATGTCAAAAATATTTTGCACATAAAAAATGGCTTTGGCTCAACATCTCAAACCCAAAATATTTGAAATATCAAGATTAAAGATTAAAGTATTGACAGAGATCATTGACAGCAACAATTAAAATAATACACAAACACAGTTACATAAACCCAATATTTAAAGAATGTTCTGTGTCAGAGGTAGTAAACCTGGATCCAATAAATCAAATGCCATCCATTCAATATGCTTCAATAATAATCACACTCCATAGATATATTAGTAATTGGACTGAGAGCTCTAAGAGAGGAGGGGAAGACATAGAGGGTATGTGGTCATCCTCACTGCACCATCGACGGGATATGTGCTTGTTGTTTGCACCTGCATGATTGATGTATGTTTGAATGGGAGCAAATACAGCTCTAAGCGGCTCTATGTATGAGGGAAGTATCTGTCTATATATACAAGTAGATCCACATCCATAGGCAGTCTTTATATTCCATTTTCCTCCTCTGGATCACATTCAGCTGCTCTTTTCCAGACTGGGACGCTCTATAACCATACACATTCATTAAGGATGGCTTCAATGCAACCGATTCAGTGAAACTACTGCTTGGATATTTCTTTACCCTCGATGTCTGTCCCTCCTCTCTGAGAGCTCTCAGTCCAATTAATATATCTATAGAGTGTGATTATTATTGAAGCATATTGCATGGATGACATTTGTTTCATTGGATCCAGGTTTACTACGTCTGACACAGAACATTCTTTTAATATTGGGTTTATGTAACTGTGTTTGTGTGTTATTTTAATTGTTGCTGTAAATGATCTCTGTCAATACTTTAACCACAAATGAGATTTTTCTCTTGATATTTCAAATATTTTGGGTTTCAGATGTTGAGCCAAACCCATTTTTTATGTGCAAAATATTTTTGACATTGGATTTTGTGGTGAGCTCTCCTCCCCTCATTCACATATTCTAAGACATAAGCCTGGTAGGATCATTTTCTTTTTTTAATGTTTGTATCAATTCTTGACATACAGTAAGTTTGTTGTCAGAAAAAAAACAGAAAAAGAAGGAAAAATTCATTGAGAGCATAGAGGTGAATACAAATTTGAGATTTTAAAGTGTGAGAGTGTTGATGGTGTGCTGGCATGCTAAAGTTGCACTTCATGTTTATTCCTGGGAGCAGATCGTAATTATTAACAGAGAACAGAGCAGTTTCCACCCCTTCTCAGTTCTGACATAATAAGATCATTCACCTCATGCGTATCTCCCTTCAGTCTCCTTTGCATTCACAATATCCTCACATTTATAGTATACATAGCCTGCATATATACACGTGTATGCATCCTTGGAGTAATGCCACAACCTGTAAATCTGCATGAAAGTAGGTCTAATGTCTTTCTTTGCCAATGGATGAATTCAGTAAGTCCCCGACTTACAAATATTCGAGTTGCGAACTTTCACAGATACGAACGGACCTCACATTACAAACATTCATAGATGCGAACAAATCAAGGAAGTAGGTCATGTCTCTGCTGGACATTGTCAAAGCTGCACATTGGCACAGTTGTGCTGCTGTGTGCTTACTTTATAGTGCAATAGTGTACTGTACAGAGCCCAGGATGTCCCAGAAGCAAGAGGAAAGGCAGTGGTGATGTGGAGGAGACTGCTAGGAAGTGCAAAGCATTAACCATGGAAACAAAAGTGAAAATAATTGAGAAATTGGACTGAGGCAAAAAGATGGTAGACATTGCTCATTCTTATAACATGAATCGTTCAACCATTGGCACAATTCTAAAGTATAAGGACAAGATCATGGAACATGTGAAGTCCGCTGTGCCTATGCAGTCAACAATAATATCCAAAAAGCGTGGTAAAATGATAGAGATGGAGAAACTTCTCAGTGTGTGCATGCAGGATCAGCATCAGCATCGAGTCCCACTCAACTTAATGCTTATTCAAGAAAAAGCTAAAAGCCTGTGTGAAGACTTGAAGAAAAACTGGGGTGAACAGTGTGCATCTTTTACTGCCAGCCATGGATGGTTTAACAGATTCAAGGCTAGAGCCAACCTTCACAACGTAAAATTAAGTGGTGAGGTTGCAATTGCACATACCATAGCTGCCCAAGAATTTCCAGTAACACTTAGAGAAATTATTGATGAAGGTGCTTATTTACCCCAACAGGTTTTTAATGTCAATGAGACAGGACTGTACTAGAAGAGGATGCCAGAACGAAATTACATCAGGAAAGAGGACAAAGTGATACCAGGCTTCAAAGCAGCAAAGGACAGACTTACTCTGTTGTTTGGTGGCAATGCTTCCAGTGATATGAAACTAAAGCCTCTCTTAGTTTAGAGAACCCAAGAGCCCTCAAAAACATAGCCAAGGGCTCTCTTTCCAGGACTGGTTTTTCCACCACTTTATCCCAGAGATAACGAAATATTGTTTGGAGAAAGATATCCCGTTCAATATTCTTTTGCTGATGACGATGCACCAGATCACCCCCAATTCCTGGATAACTTTCATCCCAACGTCAAAGTAGTGCATCTGCCACTGAATACTACAGGACTTATCCAAACTATGGACCAAGGAGTTATTGAGACTTTCAAGAAATATTTACGTCACACTTTTCATCAGACAGTGAAGGCTATTGATGAAACAGGAACAACCTTGTGACAATTTTGGAAGGACTATAACATCTACAAGACCATAAAAAACATCAACTTTGCTTGGCGAGAGGTTTTGGCTGTCACCATGAATGGGGTTTGGAAGAACCTTTTTCCGCAGTTTGTTCATGAAGTTCATGGACTTGAGAAGATGGGTAAGGAATCCAAAGAGGTCTTCAACAACTTAGTGACCCTTAGCACAAAGCTGGAGCTAGTTCAGCAAGAGGACAACTTCATTGAACTCCTTGCTGTGCAACATGAGGAGCTTACTAATGAGGACCTGATGGAATTAGAGGCCCAGCGAAAAGACGAAGAGAGCCAGGAGGAAGATGTAACTGAAGAACCAAAGAGATTCACAACACAGGAAATGGAAAGGGGATTTTCTTTACTTGAAAAGGCATGGTTAGTTTGTGAGGCACAGGACCCCAATGTAGAATGATACACAAAGGTTGCAGCAGCCGTTCAGAATGCCATCCAGTGCTACAGAGTCATCTATGATGAGAAAAATAAGAGCTACTACTCAGACATCACTGGATCATTTTTTCCAGAGGGTAGACAGAATGGAATGCATCAAGAAACCTGTGTCATTATCAACAGGTATGGGCCAAATTCCATCTTGCCCTCCATCTCCTATTGCTGATGATCCTTCAGCTCCATCAACATCAGGTGTGAGCCAAACTCCATCTTGCCCTCCATCTCCTATTGCTGATGATCCTTAAGCTCCAACAACATCAGGTGTGAGCAAAATTCCATCTTGCCCTCCATCTTCTATTGCTGATGATCCTTCAGCTTCGTCAACATCAGGTGTGCTCCAAATTCCATCTTACCCTCCATCTCCTATTGCTGATGATCTTTCAGCTCCAACAATATCAGGTGTGGGCCAAATTCCATCTTGCCCTCCATCTCCTATTGCTGTTGATCCTTCAGCTCCACCATCTCCCACCTACCCTCCCTCCTCCAGTTAGTAAATCTCTTCCACTATATGCCAGTTGTGGTACTGTACTGTACCACTATTTTAAGGTAACTGTAAAAGTAAAAATAGTTTATTTACAGTATCTTTGTGTATGTTTTTTTTTTTATGCTATACATTGTATATTTGTGTCAAAGGTGTATAAGACTCACTTTGTCGGACTTACGAACAAATCTGATTTACAAACTTTTTACCAGAAAGGAACTCCTTCATAAGTCGGGGACTTACTGTATAGTCCTGATGCTCCATGCTCCCTTTGAGCTCCCTTCTAGCACTGCGTATCCCCTATATTTCTGGAGCTGCTAGCTCATAGCAGGGAATATGATACTATTATAGGTAGAAATGAGTTGGTGGTGATAAGCAGTTAGAATTGCACAGAAAGAGCATGAGCAATACTTGCATGTGGTCAAATGGGTGTGATTTAGTAATGCAGCAGACAGAACTTTATAATTGTCAGCCAAGGCTGCAGCATCTTCATTCTGAACTCGGGAGCTGAATATACTTGCTGGTAATTCTGCATTTGTGTTGTATCATAAAAAGGTATTAGGATAGTGCAGGAGAGAAAGATTTGGACCTGTACAGTAGTAAGTAAGTTGTAAATGTAGCCCCAGTTACACAGCCAACAATAAAAAGCTGATAGAGGTTCTAATTCTTCTCACTCTACCCAAGAATAAAACATTGTTTAGCCATAGATGGAGTTGTTCATGTAAATTGACCCATAAATTAAACAATGCAAAAATTGGTATCAAGATATGGTACTCACCTGGCATGCAGTCTAGTCCAGTTATTCTAGACGATGGCACTGTTCCACTTCCTCCCTGGCAGTCACACTTGCAGGCCTTATTAAGCCACTGTGGAAACCAAACAAAGAAGGGAATTGAACAATATGTCCACAGTCTCCGGTGAAGTGAGTGATAAAGCCCAACTGTGCCTACAGACGTTCCAAATCTTGTTTCTTCAGGCATTTTAATATAATATTTTGTACTATAAAAATTAAGATTTAATTAAATATTTTGATGTGTCATTGGTACCCTGAAAAATCAGTCCCACCCTGACACAGTACCCCCCATGTCCCTATCTTGAGGGAACATGGGCATGTGGCCTGGTATGGTATGGGGGTCTGCACACTCGTCCACCTTCATTCTGGCCTAGAGGTCTGTTGTAGATTTTTGGGGGG